GGAGGTTGGATGAAACAGGGAACATACGTATGAGTTTGGTACAATGATGTCGAATCCAATTTTAAAAACAGAATTTAAATAGAAGATAGAGTCGCAACCACTTGATATATTGAAATATTTTTAATTTTTATTTGTTATCACACTTAAACAGAAAACTCTCGCATGTCTACCGATTTCTCGCTCTCTCATGCGAAAGCTCTCTCATTAGCCACCAATACCTCAAATTGGATGTTTTTCTGACATCAAACCAAGTACCATGCCATCCAACACATGAGAGCTCTCCACACCATTGTCAACACATTATTCACCACTCACTAAAACAAAAGCTTTTTAATATCACCACATTGGTTACTACTCTCCTTACCCAACAAACTTTTTTTTTATACCAATCAAAATACTCATGTAGCAAGAGTCACTTAGCTTAAACCTGAGTAACCACCCTTGAACAACAATGATAGATGAACCAAAAACACCCATGGGAGCTACAACTGTATGAAAATACTCAATTATAGCCAACTAATGCTACTTGTTTGGGAAGAGGATTATATCAAAGAGGAACATAAGTAATTGTGAATGTATAGTGAACCCATAATCAAATCCATTTTCCAAGCCAAACACATAGTGCATGAAGCTCACTTATTCGCATTCCAGCCATCACATTGACATCCTGCGGTGAGTGTCCATTGAAGGGGATCAAATTTGAGCTTAATGGAACACACCAAAGCCCACACTCATTTTCAATCAAAAAACGTTAAACCTTTATAGAGATCAGTCTAAAATGTGAGCAATCTCTATACTCTCAGAGTCTCATGCGCCTGAACACTTCAATACAAAAAATCCTCTATCACTCTTAATCATTAATCAAGGCAAGCTCGAGTTTTTTAGAACATTAGTATATCCAATATTTAGAAAAGTTTTTACAAAGCATTCATTCAACTATTTATAACCCAATTAGTAAAACATTCATTCAACTAATTTAGTCAAATATCAACCAATTCATTCTTCCCACAAACATCCACACACAAATGCTCCAAATTAAAGTTAAATTAACACCCATTTATTATCACTTGTCCAACAAGCTAGTTGTTAATCAATATCGAATGCCAGAAGAATAAAGAGAATTTGCATTCAAAAACTTGTAGATTAGATGACTGATTACTAAAAAATATTTCTAATATAGATTTTTTTTTTTTTAAATCAGAGACATCCTTAAACAAAGTTATTTTCTATTTGGTTCAGGATTGTAGGGCAACTTTTGATTGTGAGGGCAATGAAATTCTCTGTTTTATTGCTCATGTTAAATGTGAATATGTGATGATTCTATATGGTTCCAATAATCTCACATACGTAATCTCTGTCAAGATTGTTAAATGATGTAAATATTATTAATAATACATACATCATCTTTCAAACCTTTTGTAAGTTGATAAATTGGCTCAGAAAATTATCTATATATTCAATTCATAGATCCACTATTAGCTTGTCTGAATAAGATTTTTTTTTTTTTGAAATTTCTATAAAATATAAAGCTTATAAAAATTTAGCATATAACTCCCACATATAATAACTTATACCAAATATTAGAAATATTGAACTCTTATTAAGATTGAGAGAAAAGAAACTGCAACAATGAGAGCTAACATAATGATTCTCAAGCTTCACTCATACAACCTTTAACTCACAAATTAAAATCAATTGAATGGGGAAATTCTAATTGATATGCAGTTATAACCACAAATCTAATTTCATGGCAAAGCAAAAACAAGGCCCCCCCCGAAAAAAAAAAAAGGCCCCCCCCCCCCCCCTACCCCTCTTTTTCCCCAAATAAAGAAAAATTATCTCAGTTGTGAGAAGTAATTTATCTAGGAGTTCTAGAAAACATAAATTTTCATAAACTAAATTACTTGTTTTGGGATTTTGCAACTCTAAAGTAAATTTCAGTGGAGCCAAGCAGAGTAGAGATTGTTTGAAGGAGTTTGTTGAGATCCATATAAAATGCAAAACACGAACAGATCTAAAGAAAAAACATGTGATAATAGTTGTAGTAATTATATATGACGGATAACAGAGAACTGAACTCGACGGTTATCTATAGAGAAGCAAATCGTTTGCTGCCAATGGTTTGGATGGTGGAGTTCATCTTATTAAAGAGTGAAAATATATAAAAGAAGTTGGTACCAAAATAAGTTGGAGAAAGAAACTTGGTTTGAAGAAACGTTTTGGAAGTTAAAAACACCGAAATATTGGGTGAAATGAAAGTTTCGAGTGGCCTAAATGTTTGTAAAAAGAAAGCGTTAAAGAGTATTAGAGATGCGAAAAAATTATGAAGAGAAACCTGACCGGAGAAGACGGGATGAGCGGAGGAAGCTAGGTGGAGGAAATGACGAAACATGTGATATTAGGCAGACATGCGATATTAGGTCGATATTAGGTAACGCAAAATTTACAAGAAAAATGAAATTCTGGGAGGGAACGTTAACAGTTAAAATAAAAGGTACAGGTTTAACTGAAGTATAAAAATTATTTAGTTGTGGAAGAAATTTATGCTCATTAATTTGCATAATTATTTTATGAGGTGTATATAATCAGGCATTAATTTGTAATACATATTATATTTTTTAGATTCATTAATTATTTATAATAAAATGCAGGACAAGCTAATTTTAGAATAAATAAAATGGATGGTGTAAATTTGACTTCGAAGAAATTCAAGAGACTTTTATATAGCAAGTATAATGATATTATAAATATAATATATACTATAATATATATAATGTGATTTATTAACCATTAATAAACAAATAAGTAGAATAATTTTTATCATATTGTTTTAATTTTATTTATTCTAAAATTTATCATGTTCAAGCTGAATATTATTGTTCATGAATATTTTATCATGAGCAAAAAAAAAAAAAACCAATACTATTTAGCACAACTATGGATTTGGTCAAACAATCGACTCTATTATCTTAAAGTCAAATTATTATTTGAGACAATTTCTCTTGCCATTTTGCTTTTGGTAAAGCAACAAAAATTTTATTTAGCTATTACTTTTTGTATTTTTTATTGACTCTTAAAAAAACTATGCATAGAAACCTCCTTGGCCTATTGGTGTGAGAGCTAAGGCTTCAACTAAGATGTCTAAGATTCGAGTCTCTGTATATGCGTTTGTATGTGTGAGTTTGCCTAAATGGCCTATATCCCAAAAAAAAAAAGTTATTTTTTTTAACATAGAGTAGCTAATTATTTTCACACAATAACTTCACTACATAATTTTATAAAAATTATACTAATCTTCAAACAATTCTAAATTATTTAAATATTAAATTAAAATTTATATTATCAAATTACCATAATCGAAATATTGATTTTTATATTAATTGGAAAATTTAATAAAAATTTAGTGCCTAAATTTTGTAGAATTCGTATTTTAATAAATTTCAAATCATTAATTAATCTCAAATTAATCAAAAGGCACTCTAATCCAGAACACTTTCACTTATTGAAATTTTGTTTAATGCTTCAATATTCTAACATTAAAATTTAATAAATTAAAAAATTATAAATGGAATAATATAAAGCATTATAAACTTGCTTATAGACCTTACTATTTTTGTAAACTTTTTCTTTATAAAAATTTTTTAAATTGCATCTTTTGATTAATGAAAATATTTGATGCTAAAAAGAGTAAAGAGCTAAAAAAAGGTGTGAGTTTTAAAGATTGATTAAACAGTATGAAAATTTTAATTAATTATTAATCAGATTTAATGAAAAAATTTAGTAGAATATTTATAAATGTATACATTTTATCATATTATAAGATAAATATAATATAAGAAAGATTTGATTATTTCAGCTTTGTATTTATTTTAAAACAATTTAGAGGAATATTTAAAATTCTCACAGAACTAATTTTCTTAATTTACATTTCAATTTTATTTCAGCTATTTTAGTAAAAAAGTACTTAATAAATCGCTACACAATTTTAGCTAAATTATAAAAAATAAACAATTAAATATTATAGAATTCACTAATTCAGATTTAAACTACAATTTATACTACATCAGAGTCATCCTCTTCTTTATGTTTTATCTTATTTATAATTTATTAAAAAATAAAAATATAATTAATTATTATAAATAATATTAATTTTAATATTTAATGATATTATATCATGCAATGATGAAGGCCAGGATGTTCTTTAAACAAAAAAATAAAAAACACCTGATATCAATCAAATATTAGAGTATAAAACAATAATTAATGAATAATAAATGCTAAGTGAAATAAAAAACAAATTATCAAAAGTTATTCCCAAACAGCCCTAAATAATAAATCACTAATTCTTAGCTAACATTAACAAAGTTGAAGAAGCATATTGAGGTTTTGTTTGGGACAATTTTAGATTGTAACTTTAGACCGCTATTTTTTTTATTGATTTCAAGATATTTTTATATAGAAAATTAATTTTACAAAGCAATAAGAAGCTGTTCCAAACAAAGCATGAATCCACATTGCAGATATCAGACTGCTTAGCAATTCATCAGTATTATAGAAAGAATATGACTTCATTTGAAACAACTTCCTTACTGTTTTCTAAAGCAGCTCTTAGTATAAAAAATTTTGAACTAAAAATTTTTGTATTTGAAAGTTGTTTTAAAAAACAATAAGAAAGTTGCCACAACCGAAACCTATATTACAATAAAGAAAACACAGGCAGAAATCAAAAGAAGAGTCATTCTCAGCAAACAGTTTCAGTAACCCACAAAGAAACAAGACAAATACATAAAGGGAGAAGCACACAAGTTCTCAACACAACTGAGTCAATTCCAAAGCATAGAATGCTTCCAGCAACAAGACATTATAATAACAAAAAAGTCATAAAAGTCTCGAAAAGCTGCATGGCATCATAACCGAAGCTTTATTGAATACTTATACTAACCGAGGTTTTATTTAGATCATATATAGTATGTAGTTGGGGGAGGTCACTACATCAGTACATCTTTGTTCCTGAATTGGTTCTTCAATCTTCATCATAATTGTGGCGATGGTGATGCTTCTTTTGATAGCCATGCTTGTTTTCTCCTTCAGCATCGTAAGATTCGTTTCCCTGAAAAAAAATAAGTTGAAGGAGGACAATAAAATCAGAGAAAGTTGCGCTATGCTAAAAATATAAGAGTTTACCAATTGCTAATGTGAAAGGCAATTATATGGTAGAAGTTCATGGTTTATAATGTCTTCCCATTAGGGTAGCAATTAGTTGTAACTTATCATTGAAACTCACATCATTAGCATTAACGTTTTGTTTGGAACGACTTTCTTACTGCTTCTTAAAGCAGATTTCTAGTAAAAAATTTTAATTTTTTACTAAAAAGTTGTTTTAAGAACTGTAAGAAAGCTGCCCCAAACGGGTATGGATTTTTTCATTCTTCTTAAAACAGCTTTTTAGTAAAAAATTTGAATTTTTTAATATAAAAGCTTCTTTAAAAAGCAATGAGAAAGTCGTCCCAAACAAAGCCTAAATCTGCAATTTTGAGAACTAAATAAAGAAGATTTAGGGAGAGCTTTCTTATAGCTTTCTAAAGCAGCTTTTTAATATAATTTTTTTTTTTAGCTAAAAATTTTTGTATTAGAAAGCTGCTTTAGAAAATGGTAAAAAAACTGTCCAAAATAAAACTTTAATTACTTTTACACATATTATGACTTTCTTACCAGGATGTTGCAAAAAAGCTACCCATAACATCATTTAATGATTTTGCTAAGCTTGTTAACATATGTGAGAGTAAAGGTTTAATTGTGCATCAAAATGTTGAAATTTTTGTAGAAATACAGAGTGATTGACCTTCTCCCTTATACTTAAATTTTTTGATTTAAAATGAGTTTGACTACTAGTGTATGAGGCCCAAATTTTGTATCTCCATTCCCTGATAGGATATAACATATTACAGTTGATGGTTCTGCTATATAAAGTTCGTGTGATTTAGGGTTTTTGATATTTTCTACCACAATTGAGATTAAGAGCAAGTGACTCCACTTAATTAAGTAGGCACTTGGTGCATAATACTTAATGATATTGAAAAACTTTTATTTGAGGGAAAGTAATGACTGATGTGGATAACACTCATATGAGAAAAGATTGTTAAGACACATCGGAGTTCTAGTTTTAGTTCCTTATCAAATATTTGAAAAATAAGTTGGCTTACAAATGCAAATTGATTGGCCTTATCCTACAAGATTAAGCTTTTGGGTTGAAAATTAATTTGACCACTAATGTATCTAGCCCACCTATAGTTACTATTTGATCCACACACCCATGACACAAACAAAGTTGTCATGCAGTATAAAACCCATCTAAAATTTTGAGGTAGTTATGTTAGTTGATCACTTAAATTTTGAGTCAATATTTTAAGGTCGATAGAAGACATGAACTATATACGGTCTTGGGGGTTCACTCGGAAATTGATTTAAATCAATTCAAAACCATATATATCGATTCATACCCACACATCTACATGAGCCTCACACATGCCTACAACTCTTTCTCTCATCCGACTCACCCACCCCCCGCTTTGATCTTTCATGTTTGCCACTCACTCGCCCGATCTATTCTTCTAATTCCCCCCTTACTCATACTTTTTCTACTCTAACTCTCCGTCTAATGTTGATGTTGTTGCTCTCAACTCCCTCAAAATTCATAGAACTCCCATTTGGCCATCTCTCTTTGCCTCACACATCATAACAAATGGACACACTTGTCCAACAACACTTGATCCATCGAAGATGTGTCCAGTTAAAATAATATTAAAAATAAATTAGACACACGTGCCCAACATGCATGTCTTAAATGTTATGAAATTTTTTAAATATAATTTCTTATATTTCAATTTTTTTATTTATTAAAAAATACAAAATTAATTTTTTTATTTTCTCTTTACAGCTCCAAATCAATTGCCCACACTTAATCCCCATTCCCTGAGCATCCCATTTTCATTTCTATATGCAGATCGCAGCTAGGGTTTCAAAACAACGCTCGATCTTATTGCAACATCAACGTCTGATACCATCACAATATCAATGTTTCAAAACCATTTGAAAATCAGAGTTTGATACTAGCAATTTCTATCCCCACAATCATGCCCATCATGTCGTCTCAACATCTTATATTTGACCAACATTATCTCAAAATAGACGACCGATGCTATCTCGACATCGACACTCGATGGCCAACTCTTTATCACATTGTCGTTTCCCCTCTTGATGTTTGAAACACGACACGACGTCCAACTCTCGATGTCCTAATATTAATCATTTTAAGCACAAGTCCAAGTAAAATGATTTATTATTTCTCAATTATTCTTAATATTCTACTTACTCAATTTCTATACACTATTTTTAATATATAAAAATTATAATACCGTGTTCAACTCGTGTCCATGTTTATATTTTTAATATTGACGATTTGACGTGTCTCGTGTCTGTGCATCATAGGAACAAGGCAACGATGTCCAAGTATTTGACAGAACAAAATTTGATGATAGAATTGCAGTAAAATCTTATTATGATAGTGAGCACAATGGCAAGGATTCCTCATCCTCTTTGCCATTAATGTCAAGTAGAGGTGCAAGAGATTCCATAAACCACTGTATGATAAATTTAGATGATGACAAAGATCAAGACAAGAATGTTTCTCAGAAGATGTCCACTATGAGAGCCACGCAAGCGGGTTTACACGGATATTGGGATGTTCTAGAGAATGTCATTTCATTCAATGGAAACATTCCCTTCTTATTTCAAAACGATCCATTCCATATGTGCTTATGGTAGAAACTTTAAATTGTTGTCAATGTATAATTTGAGGACTTTGGTGTTGAGGAAGGAGATAAATAACAATAAAAAATTCAATGAGGATATTAAAAAGGATTTGCACTCATACTAGAATGACGATCATGTCAGATGACTGGTCTTGCAAAAAGAGTAAAAGTTTTATAAAATTTTAATTAACAATCCCTATAACACAATTTTCTTGAAATTTGTAGAAGCATTGATCAGGTCAAAGATATGGAGTATATTTTTTAACTACATGATAGAGCTATAGATGAGATTGAAGAGCACTTATTGATAAAAATTGTGACAGATACTGCTATAGCTTATAGGAAAGCTAGCAATAAGTTGATTGAGAAGAGAAAATATCTATATTTGACATCTTATACCACATACTGCATAGAGTTTATTTTAGAAAAGATTGTTAAGCCTCAGCACAAAAATGTCATGAACAAAGTAAAGAAGATGAGCAAATTCATTTCCAATGATTCACGGGTTTTGGCTTTGACGAGAAAATTTTCCAAAAAAGTAACTATTATACCCTACTGCAAGTAAATTTGCTACAGGCTATTTGTCTCTACAAAGCATGTTGAAAGCTAGGCACTATTAGAGGCTATGTTCACTTCCACTCAATGGCTTAATTGGCTTTGGGTAAAGAAAGTTGAGGGGAAAGAACTTATGAAATTATTCTAAATGAAAGGTTTTAGTTAAGTATTACCTATGCAAGAACAACCACAAGGCCATTAGTTAAAGTTCTGAGGTTAATAGATATAGAGAAAAAGCCAATGGATGAGCCCAAAGCCTTCATTTACACGGGTCGACCCAATGCCAGTCGGGCCAGTTGACAGTCGACAGTTCTACGCTTAAGGATCTTACATGAACAAAAAAAAAAAAAAAACCAGAAAAGCAGCTAACAAATTCACCGCAGTGAAGATAAAACAAGAAGCAAATATGACAATAAATGTGGGAGTGATCTCACATATTTGGAGCGCCCATATCCGCTGCTGTCCTCCTCATCAACATAGCTCGACTTCTTATACCTCCCACTCTCTTCCTCGTCCCCGACATAGCTCGGCTTCTCATAGTTTGTCCTTCCTCCATAGCCAAACTGTTCATTCCTCTTGTATCCCCCATCTCCTCCTCCATAGCCCTCTTCCTCGCTCTTCCTATATTCACCCCCACCATAACCTTGACGCCCAAAGCCTTCGTCTTCGTTCCTCCCATAGTCGCCACCACCATAGCTCTGCTTACCATACCCTTCAACAGGCTTGTCATACCCTTCCTCATTGCTCCTCCTGTAAACGCCCCCACCATAGCTTTGGTTTCCATACCCTTCCTCACCGCTCCTCCCGTAATCTCCCCCACCGTAACTTGGCTTTCCAAACCCCTCCTCCTCGCTCCTCCGATAACCGCTCCCGCCATACCCTTCTTCCCCATAACGGTTCGTCTTCTCCTGGTATCCATAACCCGATTCTTGCTGAGCTTTCCCCCCGTAACCCTCATCCTCCTCGTCTCTCTTCGGCTTCCCACCACCGTACCCCGATCCATAACCGGATTGAAACTCCTGTCGTTGTGGCCGCCCACCATATCCCGATCCGTAATCCCCGACGGCGCCGCCGCCATAGCCAGAGGTGGAATCAATCTTGGGAGGCTTAGGGCGAGATCGACCATACCGATCCCCGAAGTCCGCATCCTCGGCTTCGTAGACAGAACTCTGGGAGCCAGACGAATACTGGGGCCGCTCGTAGTCAATTTCTCCGGCGGTGGATATAGAGTAGCACGTCTCATCGGAAGACGGAAGTGGTCTACCGTAGGTTAAGGCTTGGTCGTAGCCGCCGGAGTACGGCGTCGGATCATAGTCGTCGAAATCGTCAACGTCCTCGTCACTGCGAGATCTCCAGAACGGCATGTTGGCTGCTCACTGTCTCTCCCGTCTCTTCTGCTTCTGGCCTAAAAAAGTTAAGCGGAGATCGAAGAAGAGTACAGCTATATAAGAGGATATAATATTGCCTCAGATCTGATAATAATTACCGTTTTACCATCCAATGTTTATCAGCTTGTATAAATTGGGCAGTTGGCCGTTGACCCATTGTTGCGCTGGCTACTGATCTCGTCCGTCATGTCGGCAGCTCCGGTTTTTTTTTTTTGGGTAAAATGGCAGCCCGGTTCAGTTTCAGCTTTAGAATTATACAGTATTTTTTTTCTTTTTAATTGGAAATTATATTAATAAAATGTAATAGATATTAATTGTAAATGATAACTTTCATGATCAAATTAAGAAGAGTTTTGAGATATTGCAATTTCTTCAAAATTATTAATAATTTGTAGAATATTCTCATTAGAGTATGAGATATTACAAATTTTAAAAATGAGCATAAAATTTTTAGGAGTCAGGTGTCAATGTTTATTAGTGATATAGGGATGTTTAAATAGGCAAACGGGTCAAGTTTGGGTTCAATCTGAACTTGATTGGCTTAAATCCAATTAACTCGAATCTGACCCGTTTAATAAACGCATAAAAAAGGTTGACTCGAACTTGGCCCGTTGGCAACCAGAGCCTTACACGGGGTTTTGGTTGGGTACCCATTGGGTACCCACGCTCTTAGCTAGCGGGCTTTGCCCACCCATGCCCACCTATGGTGACTTTCAGGATGTCATACCCACCCACACCCACCCACTTTTCACTATTCTTGAATGTAGTGTGCCACGAATTAATGGCCTTGAGGTTTTTTGCCATTTTCTCTGACTGCAAGCTTTCAAGCCACATATCAAAATTTATCGTGGTCACGACGCAGTTCAGTATTGCGCACTACGTAGTAAGGATTACTGTAATATACTGCATGTATATGGTAATTAGTAATGTAAATCGGTTTGTCCTCTGATGTTGAGTATCCATCCATACCCATCCACGAGGCCATGGGCGTACCCATACCCACCCATGCCCATTGGGTATGGGTGGGTACGTGGGTGGGTGTGGGTATGGGCACCCAATGTAGGGCTCTGTTGGCAACTCGAACTCGACCCATTAATCTATTTTAATTAAAAATTATTATTTACTTAACTTATTAGCCATAAATTTATGTTAATTGATGAAAAATAAAAAGATTATACTAACAAATAAAATAATTTAAGGTACATACTAAACTGATATTTTTTTCAGTTCAAAATCGAGTTGACGGTTCAACTCAAATCCGATCCGTCTAATACATACATCATAATGCACAACTTGAATCATGATTTATTTATTGAATAAATCAACTAGAACCGAGATTTATCAGATCTAATACAAGCCGTATCATTGATTGACACTCCTAAGCGATTGTGTGCGTCGATGTTGGTGATGACGACTTGCAGCCAATTTGTTGGTGATGACAACTTGCAGTAGTACCCTATCAAATTTATTGTTATTATTATAAAAAGAGGTGATGATTGTTACAAGATTAATTTTATTATTAGATTTATATTTATTCATTAATAATATCTGAAATTTATCAATAAAAAATAACTAAAAATTAAAGGAAAAAAAGGAAAAATATAAAATGGTTTTTTTTTTTTTTTGAGATTTTGTTAAATTATTATACAAAATAAGGCTTGAGTAATGATTGAATATGTCGAGCAAATCCAATATTATAAAAAAATTGCATTTGAATAATATAAATAAAATTATATAATAAAGCCTTATAAATACTTACCATAAAGTGAATTTAGTATGTCAAGTTATATTCATTAGAATCTACAAATTTAATAATTTAATTTTAATAATAAATTTGATATCATTTATGATATTATACAAAATAAATATAAAAATTTAAATATTAAATACATAAAGTCATAAATTCATAATTTTGGCAAGTTTTTTCTCTCTAGTTTTTCAGCACAGGCCTAAAAAATCAGGGTGCGTCGACGATGGATTCCTCCCTGTTATCCGCATCTCCTTTCTCCTCTCTGCCAACCAGAAATTCTCCTTTAGGAACCCTGAGGTACGAGCGAAGCCTTCTCCTCAATTCCATTTCCTGTTTTTCCATGGCAATCATTTTTATACTCTCTTCAATTCGATGTGAAACTATTGTGGAAATTTAAGTCTGGTCTAAATGCCCATACTTGTTATTGAGATGAGTTTTTTTTTGGTCTTGCATTTTTTATTTAGGGTTAAGTTTTCTGGCTAGGCTTTTGGTTAACTAGATAGAGAAGAATTTTGTTACTACGGTGTGGTAGCATGAAGGGTAGGGTTTAGGGTTTATATCATCAGTATGATGATGCCATTATGGTTATTTATTTTTGTTTTTTTAATTTATTCTACCGCCCATTATATTTTGTTTCGGCTAATATTCTGTGTTGAAGCACAAATTTAATGTTTGTGAGATTCAATTTTGAAGTCTAGATAATGACTTTAAAGGACTTCAACAAATTTACTAGATGAGTGTACTATTTATTGTTGTTGTTGTTGTTTTTTTTTTTGTGAAAATTTTGAGGGCTATAGCCCAATTCCATTAAGTATAATACATAAAGAAACCGAAGGTATGAAATCAATGGAAAACTGGCTCAAGGCATCTCAAAAGTAAATATAGGCTTATATCCGGAAATAAATTTCCCAAACAAAAAGAGAGAATGAGCATGAGGATTGCAAAGTGATCTCAAGGCTCAGAATGCAAAAAGATTCACCAAGATTGCCATAAATAGCATTATAGCCACAACTCATGGTTGCCAAATGACCATCCAAATGCGGTTGGCTAAAAATTGGAAGCTCGGTAAATAAGACCGGGTCCAAAAGGTTGTGGAAGGAAGGGCATTCATCATTGTCGGGTGACAACATAATTTGAAAAAAAAAAAATCAAATAGCAGTGAACGCCTCATAACTAGAAAATCAATAATTATAGCAAGTATGTTTGGATTCCATTAAACTATATTCCATTTTGAAACTTTGATTTAATAGCCACCTGAATTTTGAGAGATAAGATAGTGAAGCTAGCAATACAATTACCAAATCTCATGTCATTTCTTTCTGGCCAAATAAAGTATATCAAGCAGCAAATAGTGAGGTAGAATAAGTTCTTAGTACCATCAGACGTAGTCACCATATCATTAATGTAAGATAAAACTTGCAGTAAGTTAGGGCGTAGAAGGAAAGTAGAAGCCCAAGGAAGACATTTTTGTAAGGAGATTGAAGGTATATATATATATATATATATATGAGAATTAAAAAAAAGGTGATTTTTGGATTCCAAATGAAGGTTACTAAATTCACAAGATATCAGAACATCAATATTGTGAGAGTGGAGTGCATTGACAATTTGATCCCCCCACCAGGCATAATCAGGAAAAGGAAGAATATCTTAATGCGTGGTGCTTGTGCTGTATACGAGAATGCTAACCATCTTTAGCCTCATTATCATGGAATGCATTCAAGAAAGCCTTAAGAGAAGCATTTGAATTTTCCCTCCAAGCAACAAAGTCTCTGCCATCATAATAGAGAGGAATTGTGGCACTGGCATCAACAATCTTAAATTCCATTTGTAATTGTTAATAAACTCACTTAGGGGAGAATTAGGAGAAGAGGGTGAGTGAAGACATTTGAATCAAATAGCTCCTCTAAATTTTTACCAAGACACTAAGGATCACAAAAAGACTAAAATTGTAGCCATTCAAAATAGTATAAGATTGCTTATGCTTGATAACATAAGCAATACCTTAAAGAGATTTCCAAAATGGATAAATCCTTTCGGGACAATGTTTCCATAAATAGCAATATTTTAGTCTCCACACATTGCACAAAAGATTGTGAGAGTTAAGAAATCTCCAAATTAGTAAGCATCTGTAAGCATGATTGAGAGAAGCAATGGAGTGAAGGCTCATACCTCCATAATCCTTAGGCTTGCAAGTTTTTTCTCAATATAATGTGGAATGTTTTAGCATTGATATCTCCATGGTAAAGAAACCTAGAACGAAATCGTTTTAGGAGTTTGCAACAAGCTTTTGGGATGTTAAGAGATCTTATCGAAGATACGTAGGAGTTCTAGATAAAGAATACACTGAATTGGAGTTTGCCTGCAAAAGAAAGAGATTTTTCCTTTCAACCTTCTTGCAATTATATAATTTTGTAGAGAAGAGGTTGAAATTATGTGAGATGGTGGCTTTTAGAGGAGATATGCATTCTAGGATATGTAAGCTTAATATCAGACACCTAGATATTAACAGATGCTGAGAGGGTTATGGGGTTAGTGACCTTTAGAGAGTATCATATCGAGCTTTTGTCATTATTAATGTGAAGAGCAGAAGCATCACCAAGAGGTAAGGTTGTGTTTAAGAGTGGAAATGTTTTTTGAAGTGCCTTTGCCAAATAGCAGCAAGTCATATTCATGCAACAAGTGGTAAAAGTGTTAATTTTCAATCTTAACCCCTTTGTAAGACATTTGAGCAATTTTGTACTCAAGAAAATTTGAAAGAGCATCCATGACAATGCATAATATATAATGAGAGAGGGGATATTCTTGTCTAAGGCTTGAAGATGCGTTGAAAAAGCATTCCGGGGCTCCATTGATGGATATGGATTAGCGAATTCTGACATGCAAGCTTGGATACAATAAATGAATAATGGGGGAAAACCTTTTTAGTGCATTATGGAGAGAAGGAAATCTCCTTTTACAGCATCGAAAGACCTCTTGATATCAAGTTTGGCATATAAATAGTCCCCTTTTTTGTTATGTTCAAATTCACATAGTATTTCATTAGTAAGATTGAGATTGTCAGTCGAAATCCTCTAATGGACAAAATCACTTTGGATCGAATGAGTGATAAAAGGCATAACTAATTTAAGTCTATTAGCAAGTATTTTTGTATAATTTTGTAGATGTTGTTGAGGAAATGGGTCTGAAGTTTTAAAAACTTCTAGCATTAGTAATCTTAGGGATGAGAGCAGTTCCTATAGCTTTGACATTTCTAGAAAGCTTTTTGGTGTTGAAGTTTCGGGTAGTAGAGCAAACTTGGTTGCCAATAACATCGCAAGAGTTAGCATAAAACTCAAATTTAAACTCATTTGGCCTACAGGCAGCACATTGTGGGTTAGAGAAAACAATTATTTTTATAACTGTATCAGAAATAGGAGCAATCAAATTGGCAATGAGATTAGTTGAGATGGTGCTACATGAAGGTCGAGGAGTAGGGTGGTTGAGAGAGTCGTTACTGGAGTTATAAGGATCCTTGAAGTTGGGGATGACAGCTTGAGCTATCTTAGTGAAGGAGGAGAGAATGCGATTGGGGGTGGCAATCTCTTTGATGAAGCTGTAGTTGTTTCTACTTTTGAGTTTCCCATACAGAAAATGAATATCATCCTCTCCATGGGAGAGCTATTTTCCCTTAGCTCTTTAAAAGATGCAGGAAGCCTAGGATGGGTAAAACTTGCAAGTTTTTCTTTGAGATTCTTGATTTTTGTATTAAGAAGGTTATTTTGAGGCTTAAAGTCAAGAAGATGGAGAGTGAAGAGCTATTATTTTTCAATTACCTTTATATAATTGGATAAATGGTTGGCAAAGGATTAATTTTTACCATTGAGAAGATGCTTAAGTTATTTTAGTTTTTGGCGGAGAATATAAATAAGGTTACCTTTGAAATTAGAAGACCATGCTAACCTTAGGTTATTATTATTATTATTCAGTTTGATTGGTCCAATAGTTTTTGAAGAGAAACCCATGGTTTGTGGCTGGGGGTGCATGTGTGTATAATGAGAGGGAAGTGGTCGACACACTTATAGGCCTATATCCTATTAGAAGGATAGCGAAAAAAGTTCAAGCAAAGCATTTTTTACTAAGACTCTCTAGTTTATGCGAGCAAGATAGTAAGCCTTATTATTGAACTAGGTGTAAGACAGTCCAACATAAGCAAAGATCCTTTAAATCAACATAAAAGATCATATAATTGAAGCCCCAAAATTTATTGTTATGAATGAGATTGTGACCATATTTTTAAGTGTAAAGTTTGCAGCAATTGAAGCTGCCAATGATAGCCCAAGAGGTACTAATGATATTTTTACCATCTTGCTTTAAGATGTTCCATAGTTGAATTATTTTAGTATGAGATGTATAGACCTCAAACAAGAGGAAGGAAGGAGCATTCTCATGTTGAATAATTTTATGAATAATCTGATTATGAGTGATGGAAGCGAAAAAAAGAGGTGGGCAAGAATTCGATTTGACTTAGGTCCTGCTAGAATGATAGGAGATAAAGTTGTTACAATTCCTCTCATTGTCGCAGGGAAAGAAGCATCTGAGTTCTTGTGGGAGGTGGAAGTTTTATATGTCGAGACTATTATGTCTTTGTTTTGAGGTCTGATTCTTAAGATTTCGTGGCTTTCAGCTTCTACTTTGGCCACAAGGAGGAGAAATATGAGGCTTCGATGGTTTTTTATGGTAGGGTGTGGGGGACGCACAAATGAGGTACATCTAGAGTATGGTGCTGACTTCTAGTCATATCAAACTATCAGAGTTTGCTCCTTTCCAAAATCAATGATGGTGAATACGTTAGGTAAAGTGGTGTTATTATCAACTTGAACAGATTGGTGAGGGTGAGTTGAGTTTTATCAGTTGTGAGGGTGTCAACTGCAAGCAGGATGCTGATAATGCTACCTATTTTGGAAAATTTGGCAGAGTTCCAACAGCTTGAGAAAAAAGCATGGATTGTGATACATAGGGATATTGAAAATAATTCTTCTCTTCTTGAGGTGAAAATTAAAATACATTTTTTGTATGATGAATGGCTTGTTAAAGAAGAATTGTGGGCCTCTACACCATACCATTTTATGATTCTCCTGGCACTAAAACTTAAATAATAAAAATCTTCAATGAGAGAAAGAACATTCATGGTATCTTGTGAAGGTCAAGTCTTCTTGATAGAATTAAGAAAGCCTCATTGTATGGTCTCCTACCCAGAGAATAGCCCACCAAAGAGAGTTCCTAGTCATTAGAGCATTGGATGATCTCCTTATCTG